GTGATGGTGAAGATGGTGACAGTGATGATCATCATGACCGTAACTAAAGTAATAATACAAATAAAAATGATAATGATTATGTTAATGAACAGTAATTTACCTGTGTCCTTAAATTCATTATCATATGCAATATATACATCATAACAATAATCGTGATAGCAAGAATGATATATAATAATAACAATAAAAGTAGGAAAGCTAGGTACACAACATAAATAGACAAACATAGATAAATCGATATATATAGAGAGAGATTAGATTAAATATAAATTTAGATATAGATATATAGATGGACAAATAGATAAACAGACAAACAGACAGCCAGCCAACCAGCCAGACAGACAGACAATCAGCCAGACAGACAGACAGAGACAGACAGACAACCAGCCAGACAGGCAAACAGACAGCCAACCAACCAGCAGACAGACAGACAATCAGCCAGACAGACAGACAGAGACAGACAGACAACCAGCCAGACAGGCAAACAGACAGCCAACCAACCAGCCAGACAGACAGACAATCAGCCAGACAGACAGACAGAGACAGACAGACAACCAGCCAGACAGGCAAACAGACAGACAACCAGCCAGACAGACAACCAACCAGCCAACCAGCCAGCCAACCAGCCATACACACAGACAAACAAAGATAACAGCCACACCAGGGAGTCCCATACCCGTTCCCTTCAGCCTCTCGGCCAGCTCCGCCGCGAACAAGATATTGCAGAGTTTGCTGAGTCCGTAAGCCTCCATGGAGCCGTAGGAGGAGGTCAGGTTCAGGTCCCTCGGGTTCAGGCTCCTCACTATCATGTGCGCCGCGGAGGAGACGGTGACCACGCGGCTGGGGGCGCTCTCCTGGAGGCGCTCTGGGGGAGGGGGAGGGGTTGGTAGGGGTGGGTGGGTGGGTTATGGTGGGGGGGGTAAAGTGATAGATGTGTGGGGGATAAGTGAGTGGGGGGGGTAAAGTGGGTGGGCGGATCGGGGGGGGGGGGGGTAATGTGTGTGGGTGGGGAGAATGGTGGAGGATGGGTAATGGTGGGGGAGGGGGGGAGGGGGCAAAGTGGAGGGTATGGGTGGGATTGCAGGGCGGGGAAAGGGGCGTTGATCAGGGGCGAAAAGGTGGGGGGGAGGGGGGAGGGAAGAGTGGAAGGCAAAAGGGAATTAATCGGGAGGTTGGGGGGGGGGCTAAGTAGAGAGGGGGTTTTAACGGTCTGAGGCCGTTTTTTTTATTATCTTTATATAAGGCTGCTACAACCTCGCATGCTTTTATGTGAATCTGGAAGAAGTGATCTCTGTCATATGCAAATTGATGATGCTGAGAAGATACAGTAATTTTATTCTACGTGGGGAAGATTAACTATGCTAATGATTTTAAACAGCCAAACTAGGATGAAATAACCTGCATCCTATCTTTATTTTATTAATTGTTTATACATATTCTTCTATTCTTATTCATTTGATTCATTGCTTCATAACCTATACGATAAAAACAAAATAAAAATCAAGATCATTCATATACGCCTGGGAAATGAAACGCGCGAGTACACAAGAAAAAAAAAAAAAAAAAAGGAAAAGAAAAGAAAAGAAAAAATCCTACTCCAGGAAAATAATCCCTTAGTCCCCATCATGAAGGAACGACCGAGAAGCCTTACTGAGAAGGAGATTCGTCAGGAGGAAATGCCCGAAGTGGTTGGTGGCCATCGTCAGCTCGAGTCCGTCTTTCGTCTCCTGCCGCGTCCTGCTTCCCGCTATCCCTGCGTTGTTCACCTGCAGGAAAATAACAGTTCATTCACTCTAGCCCCTACCCACTATCCCTGCGTTGTTCACCTGCAGGAAAATAACAGTTCATTCACTCTAGCCCCTACCCACTATCCCTGCGTTGTTCACCTGCAGGAAAATAACAGTTCATTCACTCTAGCCACTCCCCGCTATTCATGCCTTGTTCACTTACAGGAAAAAAAAAACAGTTCATTCACTCGAACCCCTACCCACTATCCCTGCGCTGTTCACCTGCAGGAAAATAACAGGAAAATAACAGTTCATTCACTCTAGCCACTCCCCGCTATCCCTGCGTTGTTCACCTGCAGGAAAATAACAGTTCATTCACTCTAGCCACTCCCCACTGTCCTTGCGTTGTTCACCTGCAGGGAAATAACAGTTCATTCACTCTAGCCACTCCCCGCTATCCCCGCGTTGTTCACCTGCAGGGAAATAACAGTTCATTCACTCTAGCCACTCCCCACTGTCCTTGCGTTGTTCACCTGCAGGGAAATAACAGGAAAATGACAGTTCATTCACTCTAGCCACTCCCCACTATCCCTGCGTTGTTCACCTGCAGGGAAATAACAGTTCATTCACTCTAGCCACTCCCCGCTATCCCTGCGTTGTTCACCTGCAGGAAAATAACAGGAAAATAACAGTTCATTCACTCTAGCCACTCCCCACTATCCCTGCGTTGTTCACCTACAGGGAAATAACAGTTCATTCACTCTAGCCACTCC